TCATTTTTGAAATGACAAAATATAGAAATGAAAGACAGATTAGTGATTGCCAAAATTTGGTCCTGGGAAGTGATGGGAAAGACATGGATGTGTGTATTAAAGGGATTCTTTCTCAGAATACTGATCATGATAGTAGATACAAAAACCCAGACAGGGGAAAAACTGTATGGGATTTAATACAGATACACATAAGCATATGGGTAATATTAGGAAAATCTGAATAAGATGGAGGAGTGTATAGATATCAATATCCTGGTAGTGATATTATAAGAGAATTTTGCCAAATGTTACCATAAGAGTAAAATGTGTAAAGTGTAAACAGTATGTGGCAAAGAACATCAAATAGAAAATAGACCTCTCTCAACTCAATAATAAGAAAAGGAATAACACAAATGGGCAAAAGATTTTCACAATGATCACAGAGGACATGTGAACGACACAAAGGCTTAGGAAAAGCTTCTAAACATCATCAGCCATTGACAAAATGAAATTAAAAAGATGAGTTACCCTTGCACACCTATTGGCATGGACAAAAGTAAAAGTAATGCTCATATCAAATGTTGGTGAGGATGTGGAGGAACTAGAATTTTCATACAATGTTGGTGGGGATGTAAAAGAATACAGCTCTTCATAAAAGTGCAGGTTATGGAAAAGATAAACATACGCATAAAATCTCCCAGCCATTTCATGCCAAGGAAAGCATATCTCCACAATTGCACACAAATGTCTAGCTTCTTTGTTCATAATAGCTCCAAAGTGGAAACAATACAACCTTCCATGAACAGCTGTTGTTGTTGTTTATTTGCTAAGTCATGTCCAACTCTTTTGCCACCCCATAGACTGGAGCCCGCCAGGCTCCTCTGTCCCTGGGATTTCCCAGGAAAGAACACTGGAGTGGGACTAGCAAGAACACTTCTCCAGAGGACCTTCCTGACCCAGGGATCCAACCCCAGTCTCCTGCTTAGCAGGAAATTTCTTTACCACTGAGCCACTTGGGAAGCCCATCTATGAACAGGTGAATGGATAAAAAAGTTATAGTACTTTCATAAAATGGAATATTACTCAGAAATAAAAGTAATGAGCTACTGATAAACACAAAGTGTGTATGAATATCAAAACAACTATATTGAATGAGTAGAGACAGGCAAATAGTAATTCTGTAGGATTATATATTCGGTAAACTTATGAAAAAATAGTTATTCTATGAAGATAGAAAGTAAATAATTTGGTTGCCTCTGGATGGGGTTGGGGTATCAGGGAAAGGCCTGGCAGAAAGATTATAAACAGGCAGGAAGAAACTTTTGGAAATGATGGAAATATTCATTTTCTCAATGACAGTGATGGTTTTGAGTGTACATATAGGACAAAATTTATCATATCATGTAATTAAATCATATGCAGCTTTTTGTATGCTGTTTTTACCTAAAGAAGATTATTAGTCTGAGATGGTCCCTAAAATAAGTCATGTGGGAAAAATAGGTCAGCTCCTGTGTGAGAGTATACAAAATCTTATCCCCTCTTGGGATCTTTCCGAGGTGTGGTAAAACATGTTTTTAAGACAGTGAAGTTAGGCAGGGTTTAGTAAACTGATACTGAAAGTTACCATAGGTTTGTTGCATAAGACCTAATTTTTGATAATATCACAATATAGTTAACACTCAAACAGGAGTTACCAACCTCACCAACTTCTGCATGGAAAACTGTCTTGGTGAAGGGGATTATGTAATTCAGTTAAGCTACGAGCCAGGATGTGCAGGACCACCCAAGACAGATAGTCCACTGGAGAAGGGAATGGCAACCCACTCCAGAATTCTTGCCTCTAGAATCCCATGAACAGTATGAAAAGACAAAAAGATAAGACACTAAAAGATGAGCCCCCCAGGTTGGAAGATGTCCAATATGCTATTGAGAAAAAGCTGAGGGCCATTACTAATAGCTCCAGAAAGAATGAAACAGCAAAGCCAAAAGGAGAAATGATGCTCAGTTGTGGACATGTCTGATGATGAAAGTAAAGTCCGATGCTGTAAGGACAAACTGTATAGGCATCTGGAATGTTGTTAGGTCCATGAAACTCAGTATTTTGGATGTGGTCAAGCAGGTTCCCCTGGTGTCTCATGTGGTAAAGAATCTGCCTGCAATGCGGGAGACCTGGGTTCAATCCCTAGGTTAGGAAGATCTTCTGGAGAAGGGAACAGCTACCCACTCCAGTATTCTGGCCTGGAGAATTCCATGGACAGAGGAACCTGGCAGGCTACAGTCTATGGGGTCACAAAGAGTTGGATTTGACTGAGTGACTTCCACTTTCACTTCAAGCGGGAGATGGCCAGATTAAACATCTACAGTTTGTTTGCTTTTCAGGGGCTAAGTAATGTTCAACTGTTTGAGAGCTCATAGACTGCAACACACCAGGCTCCTACACCCTTCACTATCTCCAGGAGTTTGCTCAAATTCCTGTCTGTTGAGTCAGTGATGCTACCTAAGCATCTCATCCTCTGCTGCCCCCTTTTATTTTCGTCTTCACTCTTTCCCAGCATCAGGGTTTTTTCCAATGAGTCAGTTCTTTACAGCAGGTGGCCAAATAGTCCCATCAACATTTTAGGAATCAATGAACTAAAATGAACAGCAATTGGTGAATTTAATTCAGATGACAATTGTATCTACTTCTATGGGCAAGAATCCCTTAGATGAAATGAAGTAGCCCTCAATCAACAAGAGTCTGAAATGCAGCACTTGGGTGCAATCTCAACAACAACACAATAATCTCGATTTGTTTCCAAGGCAAATCCTTCAACATCACAGTAAACCAAGTCTATACCCCAAAACTGATGCCAAAGAAGTTAAGGTGACTGTATTTATGAAGACCTACAATATCTTCTAGATCTAACACCAAAAATAAGATGCTCTTTTCACAATAAGGGATTGGAATGCAAGAGTAGGAAGTAAAGAGATACCCAGACTAACAGGCAAGTTTGGTTTTGGAGTATGAAAGGAGGCAGGGCAAAGGAAACATAGTTTTGTCAAGAGAACACACTGGTCAAAACAAACACCCTCTTTCAAAAACACGAGATGACTCTCCACATGGACATCACCAAATGGTCAATTCTGAAATCAGATTGATTAAGTTCTTTGCAGCCAAAGTGGGAAAAACCTCTATATAGTCAGCCAAAACAAGACCTGGAGCTGACTGTAGGTCAGATCATGAGTTCCATATTGCAAAAGAAAACGGAAAGTGAAAGTCGCTCGGTTGTGTCTGACTGTTTGGGACCCCATGGACTATAGAGTCCATGGAATTCTCCAGGCCAGAATACTGGAATAGGTAGCCTTTCTCTTCTCCAGGGGATCTTCCCAACCCAGGGATTGAACCCAGGTTTCCCGCATTGCAGGCAGATTCTTTACCAGCTGAGCCACAAGAGAAGCCCAAGGATACTGGAGTGGGTAGCCTATCCCTTCTCTAGAGGAGCTTCCTGACCCAGGAATCAAACCGTGGTCTCCTGCATTGCAGGTAGATTCTTTACCAACTGAGCTATGAGGGAAGTCCCTTATTCCAAAACTTAGGCTTAAAATAAGAAAGTAGGGAAACCCACTAGGCTATTCAGGTATGGCCTAAATCAAATTCCTTATGATTGTACAGTGGAGGTGACAAATAGATTCAAGGGATTAGATCTAGTAGATGGAGGGCCTGAAGAACAAAGATGGAAGTTCATAACACTGTAAAGGAAGCAGTGAACAGAAACATCCCAAATAAAAATAAATGCAAGAGGCAAAGTGGTTGTCTGAGGAAGCTTTGCAAATAGTGAAGGAAACAAGAGAAATGAAAGACAAGGGAGAAAGGGAAAGATATACCCAACTGAATGCAGAATTCCAGAGAACAGCAAGGGGAGATAAGAAGGCCTTCTAAAGTGAACAATGCAAAGAAATAGAGGAAAATGATAGAATAGAAAAGACTAGAGATCTCTTCAAGAAAACTGGAGATATTAAGGTAACACTTCATGCAAGAATGGGCATGATAAAGGCCAGAAATGATAAGAACCTAAAGAAGCAGAAGATATTAAGAAAAGGTGGCAAGAATACACAGTAGAACTATAAAAAAAAAATGTTTTAATGACCCAGATGTACACTATGATGTGGAAAGTCACCGAGAGCCTGACATCTTGGAGTGTGAAGTCAAGTGGACCTTAGGAAGCATTGCCATGAACAAAGCTAGTGGAGGTGACAGAATTTGAGCTGAGCTCTTTAAAATCCAAAAGAGCCAGTGTTAGTTGTTCAGTCAAGTCTGACTCTTTGCAACCCCATGCACTGTATCCTGCCAGACTCCTCTGTCCATGGAATTCTCCAGGTAAGAATACTGAAGGGGGGGGGGGTTGCCATTTCCTTCTCCAGGGGATCTTTCCAACCTAGGGATTAAACCTGGGCCTCCAGCATTGCAGGCAGATTCTTTACCATCTGAGCCACGAGGGAAGCCCCCAAAAGTGCTGCACTCAATAAGTCATCTAGGTGTAAAGTATCACTAGGTAAAAGCAGATTTAAAAGTTGAGATCACAGGTTCCCAATCAAACCAGTGTCAGAAAGTATAATATGAAAAGGAAAAAATCTTATCTCCCTCTAGTGAAACCACATGTGACTGGTTGCAACTCTGCATTGTTGGGAAGACAGTGCTCTATGGGACACTCACATTTCTGTCTATCTTGTCAGCGGAGGCCTTGATGTCCCTTAGCTACAGATTACTTTTCCAAAGAAGTTCATAAAGCAAACAGCCTTGGGAGAAAGAGTTTTTATTGCTACAGAGGGTAGGTTTGTTTACTGTTTGATAGAATAAAGATATTTTCTTGCAGAGCAAAGGTTCAGCAGGCTTGCTTGCATTCCATTTTAAAGGCTGGAATTACTAATTTGGGGTTTCAGCTGCTGTATCACAAGTCAATTTTGTGTACGCAATTCATCCAGACCCACCAGGGACTTGGGGGCTGAGGGACAATGACTGGCATGAACGTGAGGCTCCTACTTCTGCTGTAAGTAGATTTTGTCTCTGATCCAGCACTTTTCTGTTTCTTGTCAGCTTGAATAAAATTGTTCATTAGTCTTAATAGACTGTTGATTTGTTAGCTTGCAAATAGGGTAAAATTCAGACCATTTACAATTCTTGACATGCCTAATATGGGCTAATACATTAAAATCTTGTCCACATTGATGTGGATATGGACGGGGATCCAATCTGCTGATAAAAAAGAGCAAATTTAGCAAAAGGCAATGACTACAATCTAGGGTTTATAGTCATTGTTCCTTATTCCAAGATTAAAAAAAAAAAAAAACAGAAAAGATATATACATGCGTATATGATATATAGTGTGTTATTCACTCAGTCATGTCCAACTCTTTGCAATTTCATGGACTGCAGCCTGCTAGGCTCCCCTGTTCATGAAATTCTTCAGGAAAGAATACTGGAGTGGGCTTCCATTCCTTTCTTCAGGGCAATCTTCCCGTCTCAGGGATCCAATCTGGGCCTCCAGCATTGCAGGCAGATTCTGGCCACCAGGGAAGCTCTATATAATGTATAGGGCTATTTTATAGAGGTAGTAAAATACTTCAGAACAAAGTTAAAGGAAACATCTTAAAGATTAAATAACATTTCTGAAAAATATATTACTTCCAGAAAATTCTAAAAAATTATTTTCAAAATTTTTGTCTCAAGATAATATATAGATACCTTGTATGTACAAATAATTTAAATATTTTACTCAAATGCATGCATTCACATTTATTAAGTAATTAATAAAAGCTAACTGAAGGTGTTTTTCAAAAACAGAGACTTCATTATATAATAGGACAGAGCAGGAGATGTTGCTACAGTTCTAGCTTAAAATGTCAGTCAATTTGTTAGACATATCCATCACTTTTTAGAGCTTTATATACTAGAGTGCCTTGGACCACAAGGAGATCAAACCAGTCAATTCTAAAGGAAATCAACCCTGACTATTTATTGGAAGGACTGATGCTGAAGCTGAAGCACCAATATTTTGGCTATCTGATGTGAAGAGCCAACTCACTGGAAAAGACCCTGATTCTGGGAAAGATTGAGGGTAGGAGGAGATAAGGGTGACAGAGATAAGATGGTTGGATGGTATCACTGATTCAATGGACATGAGTTTGAGCAAACTCTGGGAGATACTGAAGGACAGAGAAGCCTGGCGTGCTGCAGTCCATGGGGTCTCAAAGAGTTGGACATAACTTAGCAGATGAGCAACATCAACTGAGAAACAGCCTTATAATTCACTAGTGTTTAGCAGATACCGCACAAAATATAGTATTGCCCTATATGATGAAAGCATCTGTTTTCCCCTAAATTCCAATGAGAAAATGATATTTCAAACATTAGCATTTCAGCCATCACTGCAGGTAAGGCAGAATAACCTTACAATAGGATGATGAGATTAGATAGTTCAGAGATTACCAAGTAAAACTGAAGGCCAGTAATCCACAGAATAACATGCAGGAAAGCACAGAAAAAAATTCTGGTTATTTCTTATGAAGGAATTATATAACTTCTTCCTATTTTAGCTATTTCATTCGATCGACGATTTCAGATTTACTTTTAGGTGTTTTCTAAGTCTGATATACAACTACTATATGGTTGTAATTTAACCAATATTACCCTTTCCTCAACTTAACATTACTTTCGCCAAATAAAATTTATGATCTCAAACAACTTGGTCAGTTCTATTCTATACACACTTCTACTATACTGGAGCTACTCACATTAAAAAGGTGTCACACCACAGTATAGTTTTATGTTAATTTTAAAGTATACAATGAAGTCCTCGAAGTCAAAGAGCAAGTCTTGTAAATACATTGTTTATATACCTTGCTTTACCAGAGATTTATTTTTTAACTGTCTCTTCAAAATCCATAAAAGATATTTTGGAGTATACTTTTTGAAAAACTTGACCAATCACTTTGCATCCACAACAGAAAAGAAAGGAGTAACAGACTAAATTGTATTGTGTTAGAACTTGCTAACATTTTCACGTTACTTATGAGAAAACTATTTCTGCAATTTACATGGAAAGTTATCTATTTTTCTGTTTACTTGTTTCTCTGCCTTTCTTTCTCTTTTTTCCCTCTCTGCCTCTCTTTGATTCTTTTTAGTGGCATGTTATTTTTCATAATTCTTCATGGTATCAGTGCAGACAAGGCTTAAAAGATCTCTATGTGGTGCTTCTGTTAAGTATAAAAATATTTCATTTATAGCTTTCAGTACTTCTTATCTATTTCTTTTTGAAGAATTTAATCATGAATTATACATACCAGTACAGCATGAAATATTCAAGTCATGTTCTTACATTTCAGTTCAGCCTACAAAACAAAGAAAGACTAGTTTAAACATAGAAAAGAGAGGGTCTTGTATAGCAATATGACAGTACAATTTAATAGCATTATTCCCATAGCAGAGCCCAGATGAAAAGTCTAGCATAAATAGATTTCATAACTCAGTACAACTCATACATGTCAGTCAGTTAACTGAAACAGAGACACGGCTTTTAGCATTTAAAATTAGAAGTAATTTTCAAAAGTCAGAGAGAAACGGTCTTACTGCAAAAGTGAATTATGATTATACAAAGCCACAATTAGGCTTATTTTATGAAACTTGGGAAATTCATATAGTTTTAGGCCAATATCTGTTTTTTGAATAGTAACAGAAGGTGTTCCTATCAATTTGAATAAGTGATTGATTGTTCAGTTTGATTCTTTACAATTAGAAGTTTCCTATAATATATCTTCCTAAATCTAAAAAGAGTAAAGTCTTCTCCATTTACTGAAGAATTCTGTTATATCCATCCAAGAAGAGTGCATGGGCCGAGACCTGACAGTGGGTCCAAGTTACTGTTGGCAAGCTCTTCCTTAGGAAAAACTCAATGCAATTGTATTTTATTTAGAAAACTTGCTTCTCAGACCACCAATCTTCAGTTCTTTTGTAAACCAATGAATGCAGGATTTGTCTTTTCTATTTTTTAATTCAACAACTCAGAGCCAGTGCTTTTTATTCACCAATGAAAATGACTTTTCTTACTTACTCGATGTACAGAAAGAATTTGTTGCTGTTCAGTCGCTCAGTTGTGTCTGACTCTTTGGAACACCACGGACTGCAGCATGTCAGGCTTCCCTGTCCTTCACCACCTTCCGGAGCTTGCTCAAACTCATGTCCATTAGGTCAGTGATGCCATCCAACCCATGTCCATTAGGTCAGTGATGCCATCCAACCATATTGTCCTCTGTCATCCCCTTTTCCTCCTGCCTTCAATCTTTCTCAGCATCATGGTCTTTTATAATGAGTTTGATCTTCACATCAGGTGACCAAAGTATTGGAGCTTCAGTTTTAGCATCAGTCCTTCCAATGAATATTCAGGATTGATTTCTTTTAGGATTGACTGGTTTGATCTCCTTGCAGTCCAAAGGACTCTCAAGAGTCTTCCCCAACACCACAGTTCAAAAGCATTAATTCTTCAGCACTCGGCTTTACTTAATGGTCCATCTCTCACATCCATACATGACTACTGGGAAAACCATGCATTCTAACTAATAATATATCACTGATTCTATGCTTGAGCTTGTGTTTATTACTTTTATATAGATTTTTTATTAGTCAATGTTTTCTAGAGATACATAACCAATAGTATAGATATTTATTTATTATAAAAATTATCTCACAGGATTATTGAGTCATGGAAGTCCATGATGTGCCACTTGTAAACTGGAGAATGAGGAAAACCTATGGTATAATTCTGTCTGAATCCACAGATTTGAAAACAAGGTGAACTCATGGTGAAAGTTCAAGTCCAATAGTCCTAGAATTGGGGGTTGGATTGTATTGGACCTGATCTGCCTTCGAAAGCCTTGGACTAGGAGCACTGATGTGTAAAGGCTAGAGGAGATGTTGATCCTCTGGCCCTTATTAATTCCTGAATATTCAGGAATTAAGAGGAGAGGCATGCCTTTCCCGGGGCTGAGGAATCCAGGCATTCCTTTGTTAGTTTCTCATTGTGGTGATAAGTACCCTCTTCTCTCTTTAATAGGGATCGCCTTGTGTTTTGTAAGTCTGGAATTTTAATCTTTATCTTTGCTGAGAATAACTACCTTGTAAGACAGTATATATGCCCACACCATGTTGATTAAAACACCTTTGCTCCATCAGAGCTTTCTTTCTCTTCCTCTCTTTCTCTTTATCTCTCTATTTCTGGCTGATTTCCCTGGAATGCAGAAGTCGTTTCTGCGTAACCCAGGGAATATTAGCTTCTTTCCTTCTTTCACTCTCTAATCGTGGACTCTGGACCACCAGGTTCCAGTCCAATAAAGGACCAACAGAGATGTAAGTCTCAGCTTATGAAAAGGCACAGATTTGTCCTTCCTCTGCCTTTTTGTCTATCCAGGTCCTCAAAAGTTCAGGGTGAAGTTCATGTGCATTACTGTGTTGAGGGTGACCTCCTTAGTCTGACAATTCAATTGTTAACCTCTTCTGAAAAAGCCTCAGGGACATAATCAGAAATAATGATTTACCAGCTATATGGGCATCCTCTAGCCCAGTCAGGTTTGCACATAAATCAACCACCACAGATGACTTATTTAAAACTCCTAACAAATTTATCCCTTAAGGCTTATTATTCTCCGTGCCAAAAATGGTGAAACCAAGGCATAGTGTGTTCAATATTTTAAGGTCACATGGACCCAAGTTGTAGACTTTGGATTTTAAACAGGACATTTGAAGCCATAGTTGGTTCTTTGACACCTTCTTCAGCAGCTGACTACCAAGCCTATTCCCAGAGACATTGTAAAACATAAACATTCTGCTCTATTTAAAATAAGTGGGGGAGAAAAACATCAAAATAACAACTTTAAAACACATAGTGATAAAATATATTTTCTGAACAAGATAACACAATAATCAGCATACTAAATGTAAAATGCAATGAATACTTCAAATACTTTACAATTTACTATTTTTTAAAATTGCTTTTCTACTTTTTTAGAGTAATTAAATATTAATTATTACTCAGCTAACCCTCTATTCCCCATGTCATGCACTCTTTTATATTAATCATAAGAGTTACTTTACAAATTCAATAGGTATTCTTGACAAACTACATTCTAATTTAGATCAGATCTCTTAGTACTCAAATAATGGTCTTAAAATCCTTTAGAGTATTTTCCTATGTTTCCAAATTTTGAAATTTTGCTATCATATTTTAATTCTATATACATTTAAACCAAATTGTGATAATGCTAATAAGTAGAATCGACTATGAATCTGCTTAACTGATTTTTTTTTCTTATAGTCCCATTTCCTAGCACGGCTAGTAAATTTTGAGTAAATATTAGACATTCTGTTTCATCAATGTTCCATTAGCCTGAACCCCTGAATGAAGAGAACAGAAGCCAATCTGCAACATTATGTAATGTGATAGAGAAATAAATATCTATTTTTGTAAGCTGCTGGAATTTTAGCGTTCTTTTCACTGCTACATAACTTGTATAAACTATCCAATATAGAAGTTAATACCAAGAGTGAGTTGTTGCTATAACAAAAATTAAAATATGTGGCACTATTTTGGGGGTTAGGCAGAAAGCCTAAGGAAACTGTTAATGAAAGTCAAAAATATCTAGCCATATTATGGAGTATAAAAAATGTGTTAAAATTGCAACATGTGATCATTTGGAATGTCTAAGGTGTATTCACTAAAGTTTCACTTTAAAGAAGTTAAAAATGTAAAGGTGGGTTATATGCTATTTCTTGCATTTGATAGGCTATTAAAGTAATTTTATACACCCCAAAAAAGAACTGGCTCATTGGCTCATATTTTTTAAGCAGAGATGAAAAGGAATAACACATTTTTAGAAACTTTTACGATTTAAGTATTTCTTATCTGCAATTGATAAAAAAATAAAATTAAGAATGCTCTGAGTGACATGAGTGAGTTAAAGCTTAGTTTAGTGCCAAGCATTAGATCAAGAAAAGAACCACCATTCCATTATAAAAATCCTCAGTGGATTTACACAGCAATGAGTGAATCATTTCTTCTGGGTAAATGGTTAAGTAAAAAGATGATATAATACTAAAAAGACTAAATAATGCTAAAAGTATTGCTCTCCCTTGAAATCCTAACAGGTTCAAAGCATGTGCAATTTATTCTGGAAATAGAAAAGTATAGAACTGAATCAGCTCTTAGCAAAGGTGTGGTTCCTTGGAAAAGAAAAAGACAAGTGAAAGTCTATCTAAGTTCTTAGGAAAGGAGATCTACCGAAAAGCCCCACTGATGTGAAGTCATCCTCAACCCCTAAATTCTACATTAGAAGGGGAGGGCTACTCATTCTCCAGGGATTGCACATTTTATATCTTTCTCCGATGTGGTTAAAGAAGATAATTGTAAAGAGATAGTCTCCATGAAAGCAAACTGCAGAAGTCATGAAAGACAATGGATACATGGATTCTGCAGATACCTCCAAGGAGCAGGAACTTGTCCTTTCCTATGATCATTCCCAAGATAAACGGCAATTGCTTCGTGGGATTTCAGTTACTCTGGACCAAAAATGTATGTATGTTCAATTTTCCATTTTTTTTTTTTTTTTTTAAGATTCTGGATAAATAATTCTGGAAACAATTCTGGTAAATTTTGACTCATTGTGTCTTTGAATAATACCTCTGCAACAAGATCTTCTTTAAGACTTCTCAAATTAAGAGTGTTACTTTTGTCCCTCTCATTTGACTGTCCATGTCTCTCTTTCACTCCAAATGATTTCCTCTAGTTTAGTTTTTTGCCTGCTGAATAAGTCTTCTGAAGTCTTTTTGTTTCAACTATTTAATAGTTGTTTAATTTTAAAAATTGCAACTTCTCCTTTATGGTTGCTCTATTTAATTCTTTTTCATATGTGCCCTACTTTTGCCATGGTAGTTTTGTAGAGCTTTTAGTTTGTTCTTTACACATTATTTATAATTAGACACCTGTGAAACAAATGTAGCAATATATATTACTTCAGAAATCAGTGAGGATTATAAATACCATCCATTATTTAGTGGAACAATAAAATACATTATTTTAGATTGAGAGAAAGAAAATAGTTACATGTAGAAAGAGGGACTATAAAAGGCATATGCTAAAAATGGGGTATATACAAAAGTCAGTATCTTGAGTTCAATTAAACCACATTTTCTCATTCCCTAAATGGATGTGTGTAGATGACTGTAAATGCAAGTTTTTAAATAATTTAATGGCATCACAGTATTTTTTAATTGCAAACTTCTTTTTATGAGTCCTTCAGATCCACCTATAGCTATGTGTGCTAAATCACTTGAGTTGCGTCCA